GGGCATATGCTGTGGTGGACAGTCCCACTACTTCTGTATCATCAACCATAGTTCCACAGCACAAGCAAGCAGAAGATGTGCAAGATTTGTTGCTTCAGCATGCTGACTTATTCCAAGACCCCAAGCAATTGCCACCTCAGAGAAGCTATGATCATGCTGTACCATTATATCCAAGATGCAGTGCCTGTTAATGCAAGACCTTATCACTACTCACCACTTCACAAGACAGAAATTGAACAACAAGTGAAGCAACTGTTGGAGGCTGGTCTTATCACTCACAGCCACAGTCCCTTTGCTTCACCAGTACTGTTAGTGAAGAAAAAGGATGGAAACTGGAGATTCTATGTTGATTACAGGAAATTAAATGCAATGACAATTAAAAATAGGTTTCCTAAGCCCATTGTGGAAGAAATCTTGGATGAACTAGCTGGATCCAGATTCTTCACCAAATTGGATATGAGGTCAGGATATCACCAAATCAGGATGCTGCCACAAGATGAGCATAAAACAGCATTTAAAACACATCAGGGTCATTATGAGTTTAAAGTGATGCCCTTTGGTCTGACCAACGCTCCAGCAACTTTTCAATGCATCATGAATCAGTTGCTCCAACCATTCTTAAGGAAGTTTGTCTTGGTCTTTCTAGATGACATACTGATCTACAGTGCTACTAGAGAGGAGCATATTCAGCACATCCAGGAGGTGTTTGAAACCCTGAGAGCCAACAAGCTATATCTAAAGGCCTCCAAATGTATATTTGCTCAAACAAGCCTGGAGTATCTTGGACACATAATCTCAGACAAAGGGGTAGCCACTGACCCAGCTAAAACTCAAGATATGCTTAAGTGGCCCACTCCAACCAATATGACTGAACTCAGAGGATTCTTAGGGTTAACAGGATACTACAGAAAATTTGTGAAGAATTATGGGATCATAGCAAAGCCACTGACCAATGTACTTAGACTCAAGCAATTTCAGTGGAATGCACAAGCCCAAGAAGCTTTTGACAATTTGAAGGTGGTCATGACATCTACTCCAGTGTTGGCCCTGCCCAATTTTCAGAAACAGTTTCAGGTTGAAACATGGCATTGGGGCTGTGCTAATGCAGTAGGGGCAACCAATAGCCTACCTGAGTAAGGCACTAGGTGAAAAACATAGGAACCTCTCCATTTATGAAAAGGAGTTCCTTGCATTGATTATGGCAATAGAAAAGTGGAGACCATATCTACAGAGACAGGAGTTTCTTATTTTGACTGACCACAAATCACTATCATATTTGAATGAGCAGAACCTCCACTCTGACATGCAAAGAAAGGCGATGACAAGGTTGATGGGCCTTCAATTTCAAATCATCTATAAACAAGGTAAAGAAAACTTAGCAGCTGATGCACTTTCTCGAGTGGCACATATGATGGCACTGCAAGTGGTGTCTCAATTACAACCACAGTGGATTCAAGAGGTGCTGAATTCATATGCCACTAATGCTCAAGCTCAGGAACTCCTCTCACAATTGGCTCTCTCTAGTCCAAACAGCAATGGTCTCACTCTAGACCAAGGCCTCATCAGAAAAGGAACTTTGATTTGGATTGGTAACAACTCTGCTCTACAAACCAAGCTAATTGTTGCCTTAGGAGCCTCCGACACTGGGTCTGCCCATTCATCTACCATTGGAGGGCATTCTGGAAGAACTGCAACATATCAACGCCTGAAGAAACTTTTCTTTTGGAAGGGAATGAAGACTGATGTGGACAATTATGTCAAGCAATGCAATATCTGTCAGCACAGTAAGCATTCTCATACTCATCCTGCTGGTTTACTGCAGCCTCTACCTATACCAGCAGGTGTTTGGCAGGATTTATCAATGGATTTTGTTGAGGGTCTCCCAAAATCTGAAGGATACAATGTTATCATGGTGGTAGTTGATAGACTAAGTAAGTTTGCTCATTTTATACCCATGAAGCATCCCTATTCAACAACTACTGTGGCCCAGCTATTTATGGACAACATTGTCAAAATGCATGGCTTACCCAACAGCATTGTGAGTGATAGAGACAGAATATTTGTCAGTGCATTTTGGAAACATCTCTTCAAGCTTTACAGAGTTAATCTCACCCTCTCAACAGCTTATCATCCTCAAACGTATGGCCAGACAGAAAGAATCAATCAGTGCCTTGAGATGTATTTGAGGTGTTCAGTCCAAGATTCCCCAACAACATGGAAGTCCTGGCTATCTTTGGCACAGTTGTGGTACAATTCCTCCTTCCACAGTGCTCTAGGCTGCTCTCCATTCAAGGCACTTTATGGATATGAACCTAATTTGGGAGCTACACCACAACCTACTGGAGATACACCACAAGCAGTCACTAAGGTTATTGCTGACAGAGAAGCACATCTTCAACTATTGAAAAAGAGACTTGAGCAAGCTCAGAATAGGATGAAATTGCAAGCTGATAAGAATCTGACTGACAGGTAATTCAGTGTGGGTGATGAAGTGCTCTTAAAGCTACAGTCGTATACACAGTCATCAGTAGCTAGTAGACCTTATCCTAAGTTGGCATACAAGTTCTTTGGACCTTATAAGGTGCTGGAGAAGATTGGTGCAGTGGCTTATAGGCTGCAGTTACCTGAACACAGTGGCATTCACCCAGTCTTTCACATCTCTCAGCTGAAGCCCTATCTCCCAGACTATACTCCTGTCTTCTCTACATTGCCTGTTGTTACTGATCTGCAGGCAGCTCCTACTCAGCCGGAGGCTATTCAGGAGCGTCGCCTGGTAAGGAAAGGTAACACGGCCATCCCTCAAGTGCTGGTGACGTGGTCAGGTCTACCGGCATCCACAGCTACTTGGGAAGATTACAATGTCCTTTGCGCAAGATTTCCACAGGCGCCTGCTTGGGGACAATCAGGATCTTCAGGCGGGGGAGGTGTAACAGCAGAGGAGTGATGGTGTCAGGAGTAGGGCGTCTTCGTTGCACGGAAGCGTATTCTACCAAGTTATGTAATAGCTAGACTATGACTAGTGGGTCACAGGGACCAGCGGCATTCTGCCTTATATTTCTGTACTGTGCCTTGTAAGGGGATTATCGAATATTGTTAAACTCAATAGAACAGTGAGAGAACCCGAGGTTCCTCTGCTTTTCGGCTGGATCCGGCGATCCACCGTACTGCTCACGTCGTCGGCTCGTTGCCGGCGGCCAAGGGTTGTTACATGTGTATGGCAAGAAGATTTGGTTCTTGCTCAGCTCGACGAAATCAGAATTTGAAGGTGAGGTTTCTACGGCAACATCAGGGGCTTCTCTGCTCTGCGAGATTAGGTACTTGTTCTGCTCGTCGAGGCGGTTCTTTGCTCGGTGAGATCAAGTAATTGTTCTCGTCGATGAAATCCCAATAGCACCTTCTAGTTTTATATAGAAGATCCAACCGAAGAAAAAAGCAAAAGGAATTCGTGTAGAACGAGGAGTTCGTAACATACCATAGATGTCATGTTTGATTCGATTCCAATCCAATTCCGATCCGATTCCGGCTCCGACTCCGACGACCAACGTGGCGGCGCTGGCTTCTGTTCACGCAGGGAACGGCACTGGGGCCCTCGACGGGCGGCCGGGTCGGTTTACCATTGCTACTGGGCGGCCTAGGCTGCCGGCGCCACAGTGGCCGCCATGGATCCAAAGGACAAGGAGACGTTCCTCCGGCCTGCGCCCAGGCCGCCGTCCATCTCCCGGCAAGGAGACACTACTCGGGCATGCGCCCGCGCCGCCGTCCATCTCCAGCCGCGTCGCACAGGCCTCTAAGAGGAAAGAACGAGCGCGGGGAGGGAGAGGGCCACGGAACGAGTGGGACAGTTGGGCTGAAGAATGGGCCAGACGAAAAACGGCCCAGACAAAAAATGAGGCTAAAATTTGCCCTTTATTATTAATAATATAATATAATATAATATAATATAATATAATATAATATAATATAATATAATATAATATAATATAGATTAAAACTTTTATTGAGATTGGCCTAAAGCTACAACTAACTTATGCATAGAACCAAGAAAAAAACAATGAGTGGACCATAGATGAGTTCGCTACTCCATCTGTTCCAAATTATATGATGTTTTGGTTTTTTCGGATACATTATTTTTGTTATGTATCTAGACATAGTACTATATATATTTAAATGCATAGTAAAAAACACATTGGATGGAGGGATTGCCATATGGATCTTTTAGATACATATTTTTTGCTGTGTATATAGACATAATATATATTTAAGTGCATAGTAAAAACTCTATATTTAAGTGCATAGTAAAAAATTTATATTTAAGTGTATAGTAAAAACTTCGTATCTAAAAATCAAAATGTGATTCTATAAATGTATACCAAAAGCAGAGGGCTATATTACTAATTAGCCTTGCTCCATCTAGCAGAGGGTTGTATTATTATTATAAGCCTTATTACTCTCTAATCTAACGACTCCGAGAGGGGAAGCGGAGCATTGGGTGCAGATGTCATCCTTGACGAGGAAAACTCAGCGGTGCTAGGCCGGATGGTAGAGATGGTCATACGGAGGAAGTGCTTGACCACCCCACCGCCCTCCTCAGTACTCACCCAACACCAATGCGTGCTAGGCCGGCCGGCTTCAGGTCTTCCTCGGCGACGGCGTTTTGCTTTGCGATCTGTTTGGGTCCGTTTGCTTTGCCCCCACCAACCACGCTCCGTATCCATCCGTCCGTCGCGTCGCCCCGCAGGCAGAGAAAGAGAAACTAGATAGACAAGGCAAGGGTCAGCCACGAACGGCAGCTTCCCCGTATAAACCATCCCCGCGCCGCGCAATTGCTCTTTAGCTGAGACTGGCAGCTCGGCTCTCCCCCCGCCGGATCCACCCACCCCCCCACCACACCCCTCCTCCCCACCTACCACTACCACACCAGGCCAGACCAGGCCAGAGGCAGCGGGAGAAAAAAAGGCAGCCACCCCCGCCCCCGACCACACCGCCCGGCCAATCCAATCATGGAGGCCGCCGCGGTGCTCGACGCCTTCTCCGCCGCGCCGCGCCACCAGCTGCGCCCGGCAGCCTGGTGGAGATCCACGCGCCTCGCGTCCCAGGCGTGCCGCGCCACCGCCCCATTCGCCCGCGCCGACTGGCAGACCGCCTGCGCCATCCTCGCCAGCAACAGCACGGGCGGCGGCGGCGGCGGCCACGACGCCAGCAGCAGCAGCAACAACAACAGGCAGCCAGCGCCGCGGGTGAACGGCCAGAAGCCCCTGCCGGCGCCCGCGCCAGCCCTGGAGGCGACGCCGACGCCGACGCCCGCCGAGCTGGATCTGGTGCCCGTGTCCAACCTCCCCCGCCCGCTCAGCATCAGCGACCTGTCCCCGGCGCCCATGCACGGGTCGCAGCTCCGCGTGGCGTACCAGGGCGTCCCGGGCGCCTACAGCGAGGCCGCCGCGGCCAAGGCCTACCCGGGCTGCGACGCCATCCCCTGCGACCAGTTCGAGGTGGCCTTCCAGGCCGTGGAGCTCTGGATCGCCGACCGCGCCGTGCTCCCCGTCGAGAACTCCCTCGGCGGCAGCATCCACCGCAACTACGACCTCCTCCTCCGCCACCGCCTCCACATCGTCGGGGAGGTCCAGCTCCCCGTCCACCACTGCCTCCTCGCGCTCCCCGGGGTGCGCAGGGAGCTGCTCACCCGGGTCATCTCCCACCCGCAGGCGCTGGCGCAGTGCGAGCTCACGCTCAACGCCATGGGCCTCAACGTCGCCCGCGAGGCCTTCGACGACACCGCGGGCGCCGCCGAGCACGTCGCCGCGGGGGGGCTCCGGGACACCGCCGCCATCGCGTCCGCGCGCGCCGCAGAGCTCTACGGCCTCCAGGTCCTCGCCGACGGCATCCAGGACGACGCCGACAACGTCACCCGCTTCGTCATGCTGGCGAGGGAGCCCATCATCCCGCGCACCGACAGGCCCTTCAAGACCAGCATCGTCTTCGCGCACGACACCGACGGCACCTCCGTCCTCTTCAAGGTGCTCTCCGCCTTCGCCTTCCGCGACATCTCCCTCACCAAGATCGAGAGCCGCCCGCACCGCCACCGCCCCATCCGCCTCGTCGACGACACCAACGTCGGCACCGCCAAGCACTTCGAGTACATGTTCTACATCGACTTCCAGGCATCCATGGCCGACGTCCGCGCGCAGAACGCGCTCGCGGAGATCCAGGAGTTCACTTCCTTCCTCAGGGTGCTCGGGAGCTACCCCATGGACATGACGCCGTGGGACGCCGCGCTCTCCTCTTCCTCTCGCGCCGACGATAGCAGCCGGCAATACTAGTGAATTGATTGCACCACGGATCGATCGACCAAAATTCATTGGACGGACAAGAAATGTTGCTTTTTAATCACAGACAGGAATGCACAAGAAACGTTGCTTGGTTCTTTTATTCCCTTTTGCTTCATCATCATTATATCTTCTCCTGCATCTATGTGCATGCTCCTAGCTTTTCCCTTGCTTCGAATTTCGTCACCAAATTCGTAGAAACGGTGAAGGGGCTCCTGTTGTATGCTTGCTGGGGATGTATGTAAGTACAGTGTATATTTTTTCTTCTTAACTCTACCTTGCAACAACAAACCAAATCAAGTGAACCCATCAAAACCATCTCTTCTTTTTGCAACAAACAAGCATTGCTGGCTGAATTTGTATGAGCAGCACCAAAAAAAAAGTTTGCCATGCCCATGGAACGAGCTTTGGTGTTACTGTTGTTGTTGCCTCTTGGGACTTGCCGAGTTGGCATTTACATTTGGAAGGAAGGATCCCGGAAGACTCGATTCGAGGATGGAGACGAGGGCGGCGTGGTTGGTATGACTTCGACTCGGTGCATGGTAACCAAATCAAGTGAACCCATCAAAACCATCTCTTCCATAAGCCGCAGGGTAGTCTAGTCCGATTTGGTATCCTCGTTAAGCGCTGAAGTGCTTGATTTTCTTGAGACAAACCAGACGTTCACCGTCTTCATTCTAGATTCCTATACACCAAACACCATCGCAAAGCGGCGGTCGCTACGGTACGGCACCGTCGCATGTCGTCTCTGTGCGACACCGTGTAACCACATGACACGTTTGCCCTGTTTCTCTAAGCACGTGTTTAGTTGGGTGAAAGTTGGAAATTTGGCTACCGTAGCATTTTCATTTTTATTTGACAAATAATGTTCAATCATGGACTAATTAGGCTCAAAACGTCTCGCAATTTCCAACCAAATTGTGCAATTAGTTTTTTTTCATCTACATTTAATGCTCCATGCACGTATCGCAAGATTCGATGTGATGGCTACTGTAGCACTTTTTGGGAATTTGGAGTGGGAACTAAACACGCGCTAAAAAATCTAGCTGCTGGCTGCTTGAAACGCAGACTTGGTGGTACGGCTTCACCGTGCGACACGGCGTCACCATGCGGAACGGCTGATCGCCTTGCCCGGTGGGATCTGCGACACACGTGTCTGACGCGTCGAGCAAGAGGAGGGTGTCGCACGCGAGGCAACATGCGACTACTGTAACACCCTAGTGTTCAGCTTATATATTGCACTTGTATTACATGAGCATAAGCATCTTTCATTCATACATGAGCATCATCACATGTTAATGCATTTGTTTGTTATGTTTATTTCATGAAATGCTTACTTTATTCATATATGTATGCCTTATGATCATGAGTGCTAATGCAAGTGAGTATTGTTTGGTCACTAAAATACCTTAAACAAACTTAGGATGGAAAATGGAACCATATTTGTATTCATGATCTAGCCCAATTATGCTTCTAAGTGTTGGTTTAATTTGAAATGCCTTTATTAAGTTGATTGTTTGACCTAACTTGACTAATTATTTAGAGAGCTTGCATGGCTGTGGAACCTTAATAAAACTTGTAGCTTATCTTATGTGGAACAAACTTTGTTTAAGGACTAAGAGCTAATTCAGTGCCTAAGTTGGTCAAATAGAGACCACAAGTTTTAATTTGCTGCTGTTTTGAAACTTGGAAAATTTTCCAAGTCCTAGACTGACTTACAGTTTTCATGTAGCTGACTTTGTCCAATTTTAGTTTACAAATCATTTCGAATTAGACCAAACTTCCTTAAGCAAAGTTGTAGATCTCATATAGCTCTACACTTCGTATTAATGAAATTTTCACTAACTCGAACTAGTTTGGGAGATACAAGAGCTCGAAGTTGCTTTGTCAGTCGGCTCTTCGCCGGTCTGAACCGGCCGATCGGGCAGCAGCAGTTGCCGATCGGCCACAGGCCGTGGCCGCCGCGTGGTGTTCGCACGTAGGAGCGGGGCCGCATCGCGGCTGGGCGTGCGTTGAAGAGGGCGCCGTGCGTCCTTGCTCACTCTCGCTCCCCTTACTCGCTCGCTCTCCCATCTCGCTCGCTCTCGCGCACGCTAGAGCAAGTAGCAGCGCCGCACCGTCACCGCCGCGCCTTTGCCGGCTGAGCACGCCACCACTGCTGCACCACCACCCAATCTGTCTCGCACGTAGCTCCGCCGTGACCTACTCCACCTCCCCAAGCAGCTAGCGCCACCATCCGAGCTCAGGTGAGGCCACATTGCGCCATCGCCGCGGTCGCCATGACCATTGTGCACCGCCGAGCTCAAGCTCGCCCGTGGCCAGCCCCAACCAGTGCCTCTCCAACATCCCTCTCGATCGGTTTGTCTTCGCCATAGGTCCTTGAAGCTAGTGCCACAGCCTGTTGACCCGCTACCACATCGTTAGCGCCGGAACGCGCGTCCGCGCCGTGCACGCCCGCCATGGCCGCGAGCACGAGGTCGCCACGGCCAAACCTAACTAGTCCCCCTTCTCTCCCTCTTGTGCTCGTTTCCGCACCGCCTTGAGCCCTAGTACCTTAACCCTAGGACGAGTGTAGGTCGCCGGTAGTCACCTTGTCGGAACAGCAAGCGCCGCCGTCGTGCACTGGGCACCGCCTAGCTCCGCGCACGCGGCCGGACCTCACCGTCGCTCCACCGTAGCCCTGAGCCCTAACCTTAGTTTTCTCTGGATGCGCTGGAGCTCTGATCGAGCTCTGGTAAGCTCGGCATTGTCGGAGACGGCAGTGACGCCGCCGCGCAGCTCCGCCGAGCCGCCATGGCCACCGTCGAGCTAGCTCCGGTGAGCCCCTTGGCCGACTGACCCCTCCAGTAGATGCGCACGGAGGTAGAGAGAACGATGGTGAAGACGTTACCGCCGGAGGCCTCACCGTCGGTGAGTTCGCCACCGGTCAAACCGCGCCCTACGCTGTGCCTTTGACGGGTGGGTCCAGTTGACCGCAGGACCCGGACGTCTGTGGCAACGGGTACACTGAGCTATGTGTGTGTAGCGATTTCGGATTTTAAATGTTTTTATTCTTTTTCAGGAATTGATTCAAACTTTAAAAATTCATAACTAATTCTAGAAGTGTCAAAATTGAGTGAACTAAATTTTGTTAGATTCATCTTGATGAACTATTTGATAAAAATATGAAACTTGGTATGTGCTATAATTTTATACCATGTTTAAATTATCTTGTTTATTCCTATTAATCTTGAAAAATGCATAACTTGAGTTAGAAATATGAGAAAAATGTGATTCCAATTTTATTTATCATGTTTTGACATGTTGTAGCTAAAAAATAATGAACCTACAGTAAGCATGCTTGGAATATGATCTTGTTATTTAAATTTGATTAAATGCTAGTTTCTGGTGAAATTGAATAGGGTAAATATGTGTAACCTATGAGCATGAAATTATTTACACAGTGTTCTTGTGCTATGGTGAAGGTAAGAAAAATATGAAATCTGTTGTTTGACACTTTTCACTAGGCTAAACCATTTATGCTATTATAAGCCTATGCAACTTGCCGTTTTTGTAGAGATTGTTACACTTATCCAAATGGCATGAAATTTATACAGTAGACTATTGAGAGCATGTGTAGGCTGCTGTAATTTTCTCAGAATTTACTGTGCACTAGAAGTATTTATCCTCTAATTCACCTTGTTATCTAAGGAAATTAATAAATGTATGTAAATAATTTATTTTAGCTTAACCATGATGTTTTATATGGTGATTGTGATGCATATGATCTGTTGATATTAGTGGTTGTGCCCAGTTTTAATTAGTTATAGGCAACTAGTTAATCATGGCTCTATAATTCAATTGGATGACTACATGTATAATTTCTGTTGTCGTGGTATTTTCATAAGGAAGATAAAGTTTGCTGTGAATCTTGTTAATAATAAAGTTGTAGATAACTTATTCATCTGTCTTGTCCTAAAATTTCATGGTTGTAGGCCTGGTGGTTTGAGAGTTATAGCTTGTAGAAGTTTGCTGTCAGATTTTCTTATCCTCTGGACAGATCTAAAAGATTGAATTGTTTTACCTGATTAATTATCGAATCATCTTAAGATGATTATAAGAAAGTTTTAAACAATTTTATAAGAATTCCAGGAAGTCCAAAATCATGTTGTTTGGATGTGTAGAACTTCAGTTATGGCTAAAACAAGTAGCTGTTGTCTTACAGTCCAGAAAATACTTTAAATGAATGTTTGTTTAAGTTACTAGAGAAGAGATATGCACCTACTTAGTAAAAATAAAGTTAATCTTATCATCACCATGGTACCTTGTTGTTAAGTACGTGTATGTTTATGCATTTCATCATAACCTATCATTCATATCATCACCTATGCATTCTTGTATCTTATTGCGTACTCATGCATATAGGATCGTCGGAGGGAATAACACTCTTGGAATTCGAGGCAGTGGAAGAAGAGGACCAGGAGGCACCACAGCAAGTAGCTCCAGAAAGCGAAGAGCAGGCCCCAGAGGAATTACCGGAGTGCCCAGATCATAGGCCAACATCCTTTCTGAAAGGAAAAGCCTGGGAGCATTCTATACCTCCTATGTTTTACAAATATCAACTTGAGTCCTTTATGTTTGATGCATTAGGTTATAGGAATTGATTGAAAATACTTGATGCATAGAACTACCTTGTCCAGAAATATACCTTGAACCCTATGTAGGTCCAGGATCGAACATATGCTTAGCAATGCTTAGCTCGGTAGAAGTCGGGTGATTTCCTATCACCTGCGAGATATAAGTGGATACCGGAGCACGGTTGACTATATTTGCTATCGTAAAAAATAACCATGGGGTGTTATCTAAGTGGATACCGGGCGGGATTTTATATGCAAATGGTGTTGGGTTGGCTATCTTGAGCCCATCTGTGTCGATTAAAGACCGTACCGTTGTTGGCACTTCTGTCGAGATTGAACGCATGCCTCTCACTTAGCTGTCCGGATAACTCGTTCCGA